GTTGATGAGAGTGGTTCAAATGCGCATATTCAGCAGCTGTTAAAAATCGTGAAAGCTTATGAAGAAAAAAAAATTGTTCAAATTACGGGAGAAGTTTTGCCAATTATTCTGGAAACTCTGAAATTAAATGTTATTTTGAGCTTCTCCCGACAGTCTAAGCGACCGTCCTTATTGTTATAAGAATAAGAGAAGTAATTGCTTTTTTTTTGCAAATTAACTTTCCCGCAATGAAAATTCATGGAAAATAAACGATAAAAACCGTTTCCAAGAGGTTCGCCTTATAATCAAGTAACATTTCAATTTGAGACCACTCAACCAGTTTTGATCCATAAGAAACCATTCTTTTTTTTTCAAAAAAAGTGTATCGATTATATTCCCTTGAAGTCGCTTATAATAGCAACTGTATCTTTTGTAAAATTCGCAACTGTATCTTTTCATCCGAACAATCCCGAAGCGTTAAAGCCGAGTCACTTCCTACTTTGACACCGAGCAAGTAGCTTTCCGCCACTAGACTTCGAAAAAACCTTAAATCCTCGAAAGCGCTACGCCCGAGCGCAATCCTATGCAAATGCCATGTAGACTCGTTGGCTCCGTGAGTCTGTACCAACGCTTAACAAACGAGCGAATTAATTTTCTTCTCCAGAATCACACTTGAAAACTGGAGATCTCGTTTGGATGATTGGTACAATCGCCATGAGGCCATTACCCGTTAGAGCTAGTCAATTCAATGAGCTACCGCAACGACGGCATAGCGCGGTCCGCCGTACGTAGATTGGCAATCGGCGTGTACACCTTCTAATCGCAAAACTCACACCCGTTCTCGCCCTTTTGGGGTCGGTGGATGTTAGCGCGTGTAAACATAAGTCTGTTTTATACTGTAGTCGTTGCATATAGAGCTTTTTGGTTCCGTTTCTAGAAAAATTAATACTCAAAGTAAGAAAATTATTTAAACTTAGGAACTAAAACTTAAACTAATTTAACTTGTGCTCCGGTTTTTGTTAAAATTTGTTTTTTGGCCGTAGTTGTTGAAATTTTGTTCAAATTAATTATTGCAATAAGATATGATTTAAAAAATTGTTCACAAAAAATTTCAAGTTGATGAGAATAGTTAAACGCGCATATTCCGCAGCTGTTGAAATTCAGGAAAACTTATGAATAAAAAATAATTGTTCGAATTACGGGGGAAATATTGCCAATTAGTCTAGAAACTTTGAAATTAAATGTTATTTTGAGCTTCTTCCGACAGTTTAAGCGACCGTCCTCATTGTTATAGGAATCAGAGAAGTAATTAAGATTTTTTTTGCTGATCAATTTACCCGCAATGAAAATTCATGGAAAATAGTGGATACAAATTGACTTTCGTGTTCAAGAAATTCGCCGTTATAATTAAGTAACATTTCACTTTCAGACCACTCAATTAGTTTTGATTCCTTAGAACCCACTTTTTCTAGAACCCTTATAACCCATTCGATTATATGGATTGCAATCTGTACAAAGTTTCTGCAAGACATTTGTAAAATTCGCAACCGTATTCTCTCATCCGAACAATCTCAATGCGTTAAAGACGAATCACTTCCTACTTTGACACATTGCAAGTAGCTCTCCGCCACTAGATTTCGAGAAAAACTTAAATCATCGAAAGCTCTACGCCCGAGCGCAATCCTAACCAAATACCATCTGGACTCGTTGGCTCCGTGAGAATGTACCAACGCTTAACAAACGAGCCAAATAGTTTTCTTCTCCAGAATCACACTAAGAGCTAGTCAATTTAATGAATTACCACAACGACGTCATAGCGCTGTCCGCCGTATGTAGACTGGCAACCGGCGTGTACATCTGTCTATCGCAAAACTCACACCGGTTCTGGCACTTTTGGGGGTGTAACATGTTAGAGCGGCTAACAATACGTCTGTTTTACAAATTAGCCGTTTCACATAAGTTTTTTTGGTTCCGTTTTTAGCAAAATTAAAACTCAAAGTAATAACTATTTAACCTAGAAACTAAAACTTAAACCAAATTAACTATTGTTTTTGTTATTGTTTCAAATTTTTTAATGGCCGTAGTTGAGGTAATTTATTTCTGTTCACTGTCAATTTTTGCAATAAATTATGAAATAATGAATTGTTCAAAAAAAAGTCAGGTTGATGAGAGTGGTTCAAATGCGCATATTCAGCAGCTGTTAAAAATCGTGAAAGCTTATGAAGAAAAAAAAATTGTTCAAATTACGGGAGAAGTTTTGCCAATTATTCTGGAAACTCTGAAATTAAATGTTATTTTGAGCTTCTCCCGACAGTCTAAGCGACCGTCCTTATTGTTATAAGAATAAGAGAAGTAATTGTTTTTTTTGCAAATTAACTTTCCCGCAATGAAAATTCATGGAAATTAAAGGATAAAAACCGTTTCCAAGAGGTTCGCCTTATAATCAAGTAACATTTCAATTTGAGACCACTCAACCAGTTTTGATCCATAAGAAACCATTCTTTTTTTTTCAAAAAAATTATATCGATTATATTCCCTTGAAGTCGCTTATAATAGCAACTGTATCTTTTGTTAAATTCGCAACTGTATCTTTTCATCCGAACAATCTCGAAGCGTTAAAGCCGAGTCACTTCCTACTTTGACACCGAGCAAGTAGCTCTCCGCCACTAGATTTCGAGAAAAACTTAAATCATCGAAAGCTCTACGCCCGAGCGCAATCCTAAGCAAATACCATCTGGACTCGTTGGCTCCGTGAGAATGTACCAACGCTTAACAAACGAGCCAAATAGTTTTCTTCTCCAGAATCACACTAAGAGCTAGTCAATTTAATGAATTACCACAACGACGTCATAGCGCTGTCCGGCGTATGTAGACTGGCAATCGGCGTGTACACCTGTCTATCGCAAAACTCACACCGGTTCTGGCACTTTTGGGGGTGTAACATGTTAGAGCGGCTAACAATACGTCTGTTTTATAAATTAGCCGTTTCACATAAATTTTTTTGGTTCCGTTTTTAGCAAAATTAAAACTCAAATTAATAAAACTATTTAACCTAGGAACTAAAACTTAAACTAAATTAACTATTGTTTTTGTTATTGTTTCAATTTTCTTCTTGGCCGTAGTTGATGAAATTTCTTCCTGTTCAGTCTCAAAATTTTGCAACCAGTTTTGATAAATTGAAATGTTCACAAAAAAATTCAGGTTGATGAGAATGGTTAATTGCGCATATTCCACAGCTGTTTAAAATCGTGAAAGCTTATGAATAAAAAAGAAATAAACGAAACACGGAGAAAAAATGCCAATTGTTCTGAAATTAAATGATCTTTTGAGTTTCTCACGATTGTTTAAGCGACCGTCTTTATTGTTATATGAATAGGGGAAGTATTTGTGATTTTTTTGTGCTGATCATTTTACCCGCAATGAAGTTTCATGGATTATGGTGGATAAAAATCGATTTTTTTGCTCAAGAAACTTGCCGTTATAATAGGGTAACATTTCACTTTGTGACCACTCAATCAATTTTAATCCATAAGAAACGGTTTTTTTTTCAAAAAAACTGTATCATTTATATTCCACTAAAATAGCTTATAATAGATTAAAATGGAATGCAATCTGTACAAAGTTTCTGCAAGATTTTTGTAAAATTCGCAACCGTATCCTCTCAACCGAACAACCTTGAAGCGTTAAAGACGAGTCACTTCTACTTTGACACCGTGCAGGTAGCTTTTCACCACTAGATTTCGACAAAAATTTTAAATAGTCGAAAGCGCTACGTCCGAGTGCAATCCTATGCAAATTCCATCTGGACTCGATAGCTCCGTGAGTGCGTACCAACGCTTAACAAACGAGCAATTTAGTTTTCTTCTCCAGAATTACACTTGAAAACTGGAGATCTTGTTTGGATGATTGGTACAAGAGACAAGAGGCCCGTATCCGTTAGCGCTAGTCAATTCAATGAACTGCCACAACGACGGCATAGCGCGGTCCGCCCAACGTAGATTGGCAACCGGCGTGTACACCTGTCTAATCGCAAAACTCATATCCGTTCTCGCTTTTTTGTGGGTGGAACATGTTAGCGCGGCTATCAATACGTCTGTTTTATAATGTAGTCGTTTCACATAGAAATTTTTGGTTACGTGTTTAGCAAAATTATTACTCAAAGTAAGAAAAATATTTAATCTAGGAACTAAAACTTGAACTAAATTATCTCTTGTTTTTATTATTGTTTAAATTTTCTTCTTGGCCGTAGTTGATGAAATTTCTTTCTGTTCAGTCTCAATTTATTGCAATAAGTTATGATATACTGAATTGTTCATAAAAATTCAGGTTGATGAGAATGGTTTAAATGCGCATATTTCGCAGCTGTTAAAAAACGTGAAAGCTTTTGAATAAAAAATAATTGTTTGAATTACGGTAGAAATTTTGCCAATTTTTCTGGAAACTCTGAAATTAAATGTTATTTTGAGCTTCTCCCGACAGTCTAAGCGACCGTCCCTATTGTTATTTAAGTGACTGTCCTTAATAATTGTGATTTTTTGTGCTCATCAATTTACCCGCAATGAAGTTTCATGGTTAATAATGGATAAAACTCGATTTTCGTGTTCAAGAAATTTGCCGTTATAATCAAGTAACATTTCACTTTGGGACCACTCAATCAATTTTAATACATAAGAAATCATTTTTTTCAACAAATTTCATCGATTATTTTCCAGTAAAATTGATTATAATAGATGATAATGGATTGCAATCAGTACAAAGTTTCTGCAAGATTTTTGTGAAATTCGCAACCGTATCCTCTCATCCGAACAATCTCGAAGCGTTAACGCCGAATCACTTCCTATTTGACACCATGCAAGTAGCTTTCCGCCGCTAGGTTTCGAGAAAAACTTAAATCATCGAAAACGCTATCCCGAGCGCAATCCTACGCTTACCAATGCTTAATAAACAAGCGAAATAGTTTTCTTCTCCAGGGTCACATTTGAAAACTGGAGATCTCGTTTGGATGATTGATTACAACAGCCATGAGGCCATTACCCTTAGCGCCAGTCAAGTCAATGAGCTACGGCAACGACGACATAGCGCGGTCCGTCGTAAGTAGATTGGCAACCGGCTTGTACCCCTGTCCGATCGCGAAACTCACACCCGTTCTCGCCCTTTTGGGGTCGGAGGATGTTAGCGCGTGTAACCATAAGTCTGTTTTATATTGTAGTCGTTGCATATAGAGCTTCTTGGTTCCGTTTCTAGCAAAAATAATACTCAAAGTAAGAAAATTATTTAAACTTAGAAACTAAAACTTGAACTAAATTAACTCTTGTTTCGGTTTCTGTTTAAATTTGTTTTTTGGCCGTAGTTGATGAGATTTTTTTCTGTTCTTTCTGGCCTGCTTAATCCCCAACTATTTTTTTTTTCATGTTCATGTTTACCCAATCCCCCAGTTTATTTTCATCTGTCTGCGTTAATTTTGCTCTAATTGAGAAAAAAAGAATTCTTCAGCTTAAGATTTTTCGGCTTAAGAACTTAACTGCTGACAAGTTTGGTGTCGGAGGTAGCGACTCGTATCCGGAACGAGGCCCGATCGATTGTGAATTGGTATGATGCCCCCAACAGGGTGTATTATGTGAAACTGGAGATCACTCTTCAGACTGGCAGGCGAACATTTTGTGGAGGAAGTGTCATCAGTTCCCGATATGTCCTAACTGCAGCCCATTGTCTTGATGAAGCATGTCAGTAGAGTTTTCATTAGATTTGCGAGCTCTTCTCTAGTACGCCCCCCCCCCACATTTGAGTTTCAGTTTTGAAAAACTAATGTTACGTTGTCATAACGTAATGAAACTTTGCATGGTGAAACGAATTAGTTTTCACGAACAAATTGTATCTGCATATGCCTTTTTGCTACATGATAACATGTAAGACAATTGAAATATGGAAAAATTGACATGTGGGGGGAAAATGACAAATGGTCGATTTTCGGGCTCATGTGCATGTGCTGGTAAAACGGTAAAAAGTGCCTTAATTTTTTTCTGATGAGTCAATTTTCTATTTTTTCGGGATCGTGAGCTCAAAAATTTAGTTACTTAGTTTCTAATATTTGACTCAATGATTCTCAAAAAAAAGTTAGAAATTTATCAGGATAGCACTTAGCAAGGTTGCAAATTTTCGTTAATATTGCACTATTTTTTCTTTGGGGTATCAATGGCTTACTTTTTGACGTGTTTTTTTTCAATGTCGTTCAAAAACACTGATTTTTATTTTTATTTTTGAGTAAGTCGTGACTAAAAAAGCTCGGCCGTTTTTTTAGATTTACCGAATTTCACAATGCATAAGTGCAATGATAGTTGCCTCAAGCTATGAAAATACGCGATTTGTTTTGTTTTAGATCGAGTCACAATGCTGGTCGGATATTTCACTGATACTTCTCGAAAGCAGAAAATAACAGGCATCCGAATGATTTTTCACAGAGAGTTCGTCGTTTCAAGACTTCAATATCATGAAAAGTGGCGTGGTGAACAAATCGGCAACTGTGAACAGATTTGTTCTTCATACTTTACAGCGTAACATCACGCATTTAGCCATAATAACACGTAAAACAAACATAAAACTCGGTAGTTTGAAATGTGGAACTGGAAAAGAGCCGTTTTTTTATACAATAAGCATTTTTTTTTCATTTCAACCATAACGAAGAATTAATCACAAATGATGTCGGCCTTGTTCAGCTGTGCCAGCCAATCAGAGGTCGCAGCATTCCACTGTGTACTAAATCATACAAGGATTCCTTCTACTTGATGGTAGCCACAGGCTTGAGTTTGATCGATCCAGCGAGCAAAAAGAAGCCGACAGTACTACAGGAGACTGTTCTCGAGGAAACATACCACAACTGCAAACGTCCAACCAGCGAAGTGTGCATGAAACCGACTAGAAGTGGCAAACATAGCAGTATCTGCAAAGGAGATTCAGGGGGACCATTGGTAGTGCTCAGTCACTTTGTTGATTCGAAATGCCTGTACGGAGTGTCAAGTTACGCGCCGAATAAATATTGCAGCGGCGAAAGCTACTTTGCTCGAGTTTCCTATTTTTATGACTGGATTGAACAAAACATGTAGAAAACTGACTAAAAAAACACCTTGTAACTAATTTGGTAGGAACAAACTATTATATTTTTAAGTTGCCGCCAGCATGAGTTGTCGCGTCAATGAGGTCAAATATTCGAAAACCACTCACATTGAGCGATACTGTTTTTTATTGCGCAAAGAGTGTTGAAACTGTCAATTGTCATAAAAATCGGAAAAAATGAGTTTCAGCAGAGAAACAGTGATTGTTTTCCCGGCTCTTTTGCACTCGCCTAACTTTGAATTTCGTTTTGAATAACTTTTTTTACTTGGTCATAAAATTGCAATGAAACTTGGACAACTAGCAACTGAGACCATATTCATGTTTCATACCTTACATTCTAACATTATGCGTTCAGCCATAGTTACATGTAAATCAACTATGAAAACAGAAAGTTCAAAAGGCGGGGGTAGAAAAGAGGCATTTTCATAAGCGAAACTTCAATTCTGAGCTTGTGTTGACAAAAACTTTACGTCAAGTACTTCATACACACTTTTTGTTTTTTTCCCACATTTGAATTTCAATTTTAAAAACTTTTATAAGTCGCCACAAGGAAATGATGAAATAAAATTTTACACAGTGAACACAATAATTTTTGTGAACAGTTTTTTCCCTCATACATTACATCGTACATCACGCATTTAGCCGTAACACAGCTTAGAAAAACAGCTTAGAAAAGTTGAAATTTTTAATGTGGGGTTTGAAGAGGAAAATAGCCATTTTTCCATATGTTCCTACATTTGAAAGTTTTATGAGCGCTTAAGGATTAGCTTTTTTTATTGAGGATAGTGCTTATATTTACAGAATCTGGTTAAACTGAATAAAATTCAAAACAGCTAGCTATATTCGATCGGCTGGTTGCGGAACCACCTGTGCAAAACTTATGTATCGACAAAAACCTTACAGATGTTTTTGTGCGGAATCCAAAGACATTTTGTATCATAATTATAGACTTGTCTCTGGATTCCATTGACATACAGGCACTAAATTATGCGACACATAGTGCGCTGTTTGGCCACCTACTAAAAAAAATTATAGTTTTTGTTTCCTGCCATTAGCTTAACTTTTTTCAAGATTGTCTACACTCAAAGTTTACAACGACAAATAAAACATTTGTTTACAACGACTCAAAGTTAACAACGACAAAAATTGAAGTTTAATATGATTATCCCCTGTAATAAAATTTTAAGTTGGTTTTTAAGTGCATGAGTTATCTTTCACCGATCAAAAACAAAGTTTCCATGAAAATGAGAAATGCACCTAGATTGTTTTGCAACGTTTTTGTGTAACTGGATAAAGTTGAGAACAAGTACATTTTTGTACTTATTCATTACCAATACGTTAAAAGATTAAGTTCTTTACATTCACCTAATCAGTTTCAAATAATTTTTATCTGACTTTCAAAACACTAAAAAAGGGTTTTTGGTTCATAAAACAGAAATTACCCTGTGGGAGAAAAGAAACAAAGGCTTCACTTTGATTTTTGCGACAGAAAAAAATAACAATTTTCTGGCCCTTTTGGAAATTTAATTTTTTGAGAAACTTTTCTCAAAAAGGCTAGCCATACAATTTCCATTGCGTAGGAATTCTTTTACCAGCTTTTGTATACAGATAAAGTGTATGGAGTTGTATGCCTAGCTCTTTTGGGAAATTGAGTACAGCCCGCGAGCTAAATGATTCAATCGATTCATCAGTACAAAAGCCTAACAAATACTCAACAAGTGCTCCGTAGAAGTTAGAACATAGTTAAAAGATGGCCGCGGGAAAAAGAGCCCGGCCTGAGGGCACAAAGTGCCCGAGTGCGGCTCTTTTTCTCGAGACCATCTTCAACTATGTTCCAACTGTTTAACAAACGAGCCAAATAGTTTTCTTCTCCAGAATCACACTAAGAGCTAGTCAATTTAATGAATTACCACAACGACGTCATAGCGCTGTCCGCCGTATGTAGACTGGCAACCGTCGTGTACACCTGTCTAATGGCAAAACTCACACCCGTTCTGGCACTTTTGGGGGTGTAACATGTTAGCGCGGCTAACAATACGTCTGTTTTACAAATTAGCCGTTTCACATAAATTTTTTTGGGTTTGTGTTTAGCAAAATTAATACTCAAAATAAGAAAACTATTTAATCTAGGAACTAAAACTTGAACTAAATTAACTCTTGTTTTTATTATTGTTTAAATTTTCTTCTTGGCCGTAGTTGATGAAACTTCTTTCTGTTCAGTCTCAATTTATCGCAATAAATTATGATTTACTGAATTGTTCAAAAAAATTCAGGTTGATGAGAATGGTTTAAATGCGCATATTTCGCAGCTGTTAAAAATCGTGAAAGCTTATGAATAAAAAATAATTGTTTGAATTACGGGGGAAATTTTGCCAATTTTTCTGGAAACTCTGAATGTGAATGTTATTTTGAGCTTCTCCCGACAGTCTAAGCGACCGTCCCTATTGTTTATTAGGTGACCGTCCTTAATAATTGTGATTTTTTGTGCTGATCAATTTACCCGCAATGAAGTTTCATGGTTAATAATGGATAAAACTCAATTTTCGTGTTCAAGAAATTTGCCGTTATAATCAAGTAACAGTTCACTTTGGGACCACTCAATCAGTTTTAATACATAAAAAATCATTTTTTTCAACAAATTTCATCGATTAATTTCCATTAAAATTGATCATAATAGATGATAATGGATTGCAATCTGTACAAATTTCTGCAAGATTTTTGTGAAATTCGCAACCGTATCCTCTCATCCGAACAATCTCGAAGCGGTAACGCCGAATCACTTCCTACTTTGACACCATGCAAGTAGCTTTCCGCCGCTAGCTTTCGATAAAAACTTAAATCATCGAAAACGCTATCCCGAGCGCAATCCTATGCAAATGCCATCTGGACTTGTTGGCTCCGTAAGAACGTACCAACGCTTAATAAACAAGCGAAATAGTTTTCTTCTCCAGGGTCACATTTGAAAACTGGAGATCTCGTTTGGATGATTGAGGACAACAACCATGAGGCCATTACCCTTAGCGCCAGTCAAGTCAATGAACTACGGCAACGACGACATAGCGCGGTCCGTCGTAAGTAGATTGGCAACCGCCTTGTACCCCTGTCCGATCGCGAAACTCACACCCGTTCTCGCCCTTTTGGGGTAGGAGGATGTTAGCGCGTGTAACCATAAGTCTGTTTTATTTTGTAGTCGTTGCATACAGAGCTTTTTGGTTCCGTTTCTAGCAAAATTAATACTCAAAGTAAGAAAATTATTTAAACACTTAGAAACTAAAACTTGAACTAAATTAACTCTTGTTTCGGTTTCTGTTTAAATTTGTTTTTTGGCCGTAGTTGATGAGATTTCTTTCTGTTCTTTCTGGCCTGCTTAATCCCCAACTATTCTTTTTTTCATGTTCACCCAATCCCCCAGTTTATTTTCATCTGTCTGCGTTAATTTTGCTCTAATTGAGAAAAAAAGAATTCTTCAGCTTAAGATTTTTCGCTCTTTTTTTTTTGGAAAAAGTCACAAGTCAGATTGAGTGTAATCACTGGAAATTCATTCACCGCCAAAATTTGACCAAATGACCCAGGCAGTAGAATTACCATTAGCTGACAATTTTGTTACCATTAGCAACAAAAACGGCTGCTTTAAACATACTCTTTGAAAGCTTTTTTTTGTCCATAATGAAGTTAGACATTTTTTCATTTTCCGCACTCGCTCTGCTGACAAGTTTGGTGTCGGAGGTAGCGAGTCGTATCCGGAACGAGGCCCGATCGATTGTGAATGGGTATGATGCCCCCAACAGGGTGTATTATGTGAAACTGGAGATCACTCTTCAGACTGGCAGGCAAACACTTTGTGGAGGAAGTGTCATCAGTTCCCGATATGTGTTAACTGCAGCCCATTGTATTGATGAAGCATGTCAGTATAGTTTTCATTAGTTATGCCGGCTCTTGTCTAGTACCCCCCCCCCCCCCCCCCCCCCCCAAATTGAGTTTCAGTTTTAACAAAACTTATGTTACGCGTTATCATAACGTAATGAAATTTTGCATTGTAAAACGAATTAGTTGTCATGAACAAATTTTTCTGCATATGCCTTACTTCGTAGCATCACGCATCCAGCCATAATAACATGTAAGACAATTGAAAAAATGGAAAGGTTCTTTTTCCTTCCCCCCCCCCCCCCCACCTAACATGACCTTCAATATATTAGTGTAACGAGTGGTTTTACGAGGTTGAGTATGAAGACCAAATGTGTTTGTCGTGGCCTTAGTAGTCTGTTTGTAAATTTTCATAGCAATCGGACAATGTAATCAAAAATTTTACATGTGAAAATTTGCAATGGGGGGGGGGGGGGAGGAAAAAAAGCCAATGGAAAAATTGACATGTGGGGGTAAAATGACAAAGGGCCGATTTTCGGGCGCATGTGCATGTGCTGGTGAAACGGTAAAAAGTGCCTTAAGTTTTTTCTGATGAGTCATTTTTCTATTTTTTGGGGATCGTGAGCTCAAAAATTTAGTTACTTATTTTCTAATATTAGACTCAATGATTCTCAAAATATAGTTAGAAGTGTATCGGGATAGCACTAAGCAAGGTTGCAAGTTTTCGTTAATATTGCACTATTTTTTCTTTGGCGTATCAATGGCTTACTTTTTGACGTGTTTTTTTCAATGTCGTTCAAAAACACTGATTTTGATTTTTATTTTTGAATAAGTCGTGACTAAAAAAACTCGGCAGTTTTTTTAGGTTTACCGCATTTCACAACGCATAAGTGCAATGATAGTTACCTCATTCTATGAAAAGACGCGATTTTTTTGTTTTAGATCGAGTCACAGTGCTGGTCGGAGATTTCACTGATACTTATCGAAAGCAGAAAATAACAGGCAACCGAATGATTTTCCACAGAGAGTACGTCGTTTCAAGACTTCAGTATCACCCCCCCCCCCCCTCCTCCCCAACATCAAGTTTGATGGCATTCCGTTCGGGCTAAAAACTTTTTTAAGGTGCATTCGGTGCCAAACTTACAAAATAGGAGCGATGAGCGCTCGCCGAAAAAAATCATGTTTTCTCTCAACCCATGTTTTCAAATAGCGTCTTTATAGTGTGCGTATGGGCGAACATGAGTACCAATTTGGTCGTTCCAAAAACATGGTCGGCTCGTTTCCAATCCCTTTATTTGAAATTAAGTTTTGAGCAACGAGTTCCGCTACACAAAAAAACCATTAATGCTACTGTGTAACCGCTTTGATTTTCAATATAACAACTAAGCATTTAAAAAGTTAAAATATAAGTTTTTTCATACACTAAGCAATTTTTTCATTTCAGCCATAACGAAGAATTAATCACAAATGATGTCGGCCTTATTGAGCTGGGCCAGCCAATCAGAGGTCGCAGCATTCCATTGTGTACTAAATCATACAAGGATTCCGGCTACTTGATGGTAGCCACAGGCTTGGGTTTTATCGATCCAGCGAGCGAAAAGAAGCCGACAGTCCTACAGGAGACTGTTCTCGAGGAAACATACCACAACTGCGAACGTCCAACCAGCGAAGTGTGCATGAAACCGACCAGAAGTGGCAAACATAGCAGTATCTGTATGGGAGATTCAGGGGGACCATTGGTAGTGCTCAGTCGCTCTGGTGAACCGAAATGCCTGTACGGAGTGTCAAGCTACGTGCCGAATCAATATTGCAGCGGCGAAAGCTACTTTGCCCGAGTTTCCCATTTTTATGACTGGATTGAACAAAACATGTAGAAAACTGACTCAAAATAAAACACTTAGTAACTAATTTGGTAGGAACAAACTATTATATTTTTAAGTTGCCCCCAGCATGAGTTGTCGCGTCAATGAGGTCAAAAATTCGAAAGCCACTCACTTTGCTTGATAGTATTTTTTATTGCGCAAAGAGTGTTTTTGGGAATCAAATGAAACTGTCAGTTGTCATAACAATCGGAAAAATGAAAATCACTAGTTTCGAGCATAGAAACAGTGATTGTTTTCCCGGCTCTTTTCCATTCGCCTAACTTTGAATTTTCATTTTGAAAAACTACTTTTAATTGGTCATAATAATGCAATGAAACTTGAACAACTAGCAACTGTTGTGAACATATTCATGTTTCATACCTTACATCGTAACATTATGCGTTCAGCCATAGTTACATGTAAATCAGCTATAAAAACAGAAAATTCAAAGAGCAGGGGTAGAAAAGAGGCATTTTCATAAGCAAAACTTCAATTCTGAGCTTGTGTTGAAAAAACTTCACGTCAAGTAATTCATATACACTTTTTGCCTCTTTTCCCACATTTAAATTTCAATTTTAAAAACTATTTTAAGTCGCCACAATGAAATGAAATTTTACACAGTGAACACACTAAATAATGTGAACAGATTTTCCCTTTATACATACATTACATCGTAACATCACGCATTTAGCCGTAATCGCACGTAAAACAGCTAAGAAAGATTGAAATTTTTAATGTGGGGTTGGAAGAGGAAAATAGCTATTTTTTCATATGTTCCTACATTTGAAAGTTTTATGAGCGCTCAAGGATTAGTTTTTTTTATTGAGTGTAGTGCTTATATTTAGAGAATCTGGTTAAACTTAGTGAAATTCAAAACAGCTAGCTATATTCGATCGGCTTGTTGCGGAACCACCTGTGCAAAACTTATGTATCGACAAAAACCTTACAGATGTTTTTGTGCGGACTCCAAAGACATTTTGTATCATAATTATAGACTTGTCTCTGGATTCCATTGACATACAGGCACTAAATTATGCGACTCAAAGTGCGCTGTTTGGCCACCTACTAAAAAAATTATAGTTTTTGTTTCCTGCCATTAGCTTAACTTTTTTCAAGATTGTCTACACTCAAAATTAAACGACAAATAACCCCTTTGTTAACAACGACTCAAAGTTAACAACGACAAAAATTGAAGTTTAGTATTATTATCCCCTGTAATAAAATTTTAAGTTGGTTTTTAAGTGCATGAATTAGCTTTCACCGATCAAAAACAAAAATTCTATGATAATGGGAAATGCACCTAGATTGTTTTGCAACGTTTTTAGGTAATTGGATAAAGTTGAGAACAAGTACATTTTTGTACTCATTCATTACCAATACGTTAAAAGATTAAGTTCTCTACATTCACCTAATCAGTTTCAAATAATTTTATCTGAATTTCAAAACACTGAAATAGGGTTTTTGGTTCTTAAAACAGAAATTACCCTGTGGGAGAAAAGAAACAAAGGCTTCACTTTGATTTTTGCGACGGAAAGTTTGAGCTTGTTTTTAGCTCAATGGGTATGTATCATTTTAAAAAAAAATTTTCAATTCTTATACCAAAGACTTCCCTGTTTCCAGGAAAATTTAATTGCCCCAGCTTTTTAACTGCCAAATTTTGGGCACTGCATTTTAGGCTTGTTTTTCAGCAAATTTTTAGCTGTTAGGGATGTATCAATTTTTTAAAGTTTTTTTTCAAATTTTCACCAAAAATTGCTGTGTATCTTGGAAAATGTATTTGCTCAAAACTTTTAACTATCAAAGCTTACAAAAAGTTTTTTTTCGCAAAAAAACTGCTTTTTTTAGGATGTTTTCAGTAGATTTTCAGCTGTGGGGGAAAGCGCAAATTCAAAAATAACTTTTTTTTTCATTTTTCACCAAAAATTGCAGTGTTTTTGGGCAAATTTTTTTGCTGAAGAATTTTAGCAGTCAAAGCTATCACATTTCTGTTTTTTTTTTGCATTTTAGGTTTTTTTCAGGAGTTGGATGCAACAGTTGTTTTACACTAAAGCTAATTTTATGGTTTTATCCTTGTAACGACACCTAACAAAACTTTGATTTCAATTCGAAATTTTGAATTTTTTTTCAGTGCTGATTCAGTGCCTTATCAATGCTAATTTATCTATGAATAATGCCGAAAATAATAGCCATGAAATAAGCCTTAACGATTGCTAAAAGTTTCATAAATTTGGTGTATGTCTGAATTAGCCATAAATTTTTACACAAAACTGAGATATATCTAAATCAGCGATAATGTTTCCTGTCAACACAACGCGGGAGATCTTATAGCTGTACGAAAAAGATGACGAACTAGAAATAAAAGAAAATTGAGGAATATTCGAGGGAAATTAAATATAACACATCCCGGGTTGACCAAAAATGCTTATCATACAATTCTCATAAATGGGAAATTTCTTTTCATACAATTTCATACAATTCCCTACAAACAGAAAATTGTATGAAAACTCTTTAATAAACATAAATGGAAATTGTATAATAGGTGACAAAGACCTTGACCACTCAAAGCACCAAAGCTTGGACGGTCTTACAATTACAATGCATAAAAAAGAACCTGATTTGTTTTCCACATGTCTTTCACAAAAGATATACCAAAAGTAACAAACTTTTAGTTTTTGGCAAAACTTTTCAGTGATGAATATTTTAAATTTTTGATTTTTCAAACTATCAGTCATTGATCAAGGCATTCATAAACACGCCATAAAAAAGAAATAGGGAAATTTCAGCGTTTTTGAAAAAAAATTAAAGAGAAAAGGAAAAAAAGCCAATATTATCGTATCCAGGACTACGTTATGCACAAAAAAATTAAATTTTGCATGCAAAAATTTTTTTTTTCGAAAAATGTTTGTTTGCGTACAAAATTCGAATTGCGGTTGAAAAAAAAAATTTTGGGGCAAATTTTCAAAAAACTGGGGCAAATTTTTTGTGTCGCTTTCAAAAAATGCCAGTCAGAAAATTTCCATATATGGAAATTGTATGGAAAGCATTTTTTCAAAGAAAAATATTTTAAATCAGTTTTTTTTGTCACCAGTCTGTTCAATTAATCTCAAAAAGCCGCAGAAATGGTTTAATTTTTTTTCTATTGTTTTTCGAAAATGTATGAAAATTGTATGACAAGCATTTTCTCCATACACTTGATGTATGGATTTGTATGATAATGATTTTTGTTGTATGGAATTGTATGATAAGCCTTTTCGGTGTATGGAGGTCAACCCGGGATATTGTTTTCATTGTTTCGGCCTCATCGGTCAGGTCCAGTTGCAAGGTAGTTCAGTGTCGGGCAGCTTGTTGATTAAAAACCTTACGTTTTACACTTAAGCTAACGGTACATAACAGAATCACAGTCAAAGAGACAAACGAACTGCCATACAGTTCTGTAATTAAAAGAGAGTCACTTTGCATAGTGGTGAGGCGGTCACTTTGAAATCGTCATGTCGTGTATTCGATCCTATGCAATTATAGTGTGTGAGGACGATCTCTCTATCGACCTCTAGCTTCAGGTCCACCACAGCCTGACCAGTTTCGGCTGCAATAGTGGTACCATGTGAAAGTTCTAGACGCAAGAAAAATGGTCTTGAGTCGCAAAAAAGAGCGTCGCTCAACAAAATTAAACAGTCTGGATTGTGGGGAGATAAAAAAAATGGGCTATCTTTCAACAGGACTGTTATGGCCTACCGATAGCTCCTCTGCGATTCGCAAGAACCGCATTATTGTTAAAAGCAGAAATCAAGTTCCCAAAATACGCAAGCTGAAAGCTCTAGTTTATCAATTTTAAGATGTCAATGGTCATGGGCAATGGGCAATAGTACTGCCCCCGACTATGAACACTCCGTAGCTTCATCCAATCATCATAGAGACTCTCATTATAGAGAAAAGCTGCCACTCCAGTTAGTTTCCAGTCCTGCATGGCTCCCTGCTCATTATCTTTCTTCTCATGATATCCAGCTCGTTCTGGTTTGCATTCATCACTGGGATGAAATCCATCAGCGCAGTGCACATTTTGATCAAATCTGTCACAGGACAAAGGAAAAAATGACGATTTCTTCAGGCAACCTATTAGACTGTTGAAGAAAGAATTCCCTGCAATCAAAAATTGCTCTGATATCACCGAGTGGGGCACGCTACCTCACGTTACCATGAAGTTTCAATGTTGGAATCGAATCGTTCTCTTCTTGAAAACAAATTTTTGAGCGACATAAATATTGTAACAAAAGGGTCCAGAGAGGTACACAAAACTTCAAATTAGTTCAAGATTTTTTAGATCAGTTTCAAGTAAGATTGTTATCATAACCCAAACTTTAATAAAAAACTGAATCAAATCAGGCGAGAGAAACTTATGAAGTTCAGAACAGTTTGAAGTTTGAATTGATATAATTATGCATCTGATGCATCATAAAAAGTCAGGTTGAAGAGTAACAAAATACTTAGGTAAAAAAACATAGCGGTACAAGAACCGCTGTACTGTTTTTGATTAATTTTTTAAAATAAATTCCACTGACAAATTTAGATTTTTGCTTTTAAATTTTGCATTTGTAAAATGTTTATTTTGGCTATAGCTTCCCGGGTTGACCAAAACTTCTTATCATACAATTTCCATATATGAGAAACTTCTTGTCATACAATTTCATACAATTCCATACGTACAGAAAATTGTATGAAAACTCTATGATAAACATTTTTCCATATATGAAAATTGTATGATAGGTGTTTTCCCATAAACCAAAAATTTTGGTTTTTTCTTTCTAAAGTTTGTTTCTGAAAAACTGTCGTTTGTAGTTGCAACCGAACACAAGTGACAAAGACCTTGGTTACTCAAAACACCATAGGTTGGACGGTCTTGCATTTACAATGCATAGAAAACGACCTGGTTTCGGCTGTCTTTCACAATTGATATAACAAAAGTAACAAACTTATATTTGTTGGCAAATTTTTTTTAATGATGATTATATTAAATTTTTGAATTTCAAATTATCAGACATTGATCAAGGCGTACATTAACACCCCATACAAAAAAAGAGGAATTTTCAGCGTTTTTGAAAAAAAAAATTAAGTGAAAAGAAAATAAAAGCCAATTTTATTGTATCCAGGACTACGTTATGCACACAAAATATTAAATTTTGCATGCAAAAATTTTTTTTCGAAAAATGTTTGTTTGCGTACAAAAAACGATTCGCGGTTGAAAAAAAATTTTGGGACAAATTTTCAAAAAACTTTGGGGCAAATTTTTTGTGTCGCCATCAAAAAAATGCCAGTCATACAATTTCCATATATGGGAATTGTATGATAAGCATTTTTTTCAAAAAACGAAAACCTCAGTTTTTTATCACCAGATTGTTTTATTAGAATCAAACAGCCACAGAAATGAGTTTATACCAGTTTTCAACCATTTTTAGAAATTGTATGAAAATTGTTTGACAAGCATTTTCCCACACACTTGATGTATGGAATTGTATGATAAGCATTTTCGGTGTATGGAGGTCAACCCGGGTTAATATAGCCTTATTTAGTATAAAAAACTTAACTACGGAACCCACTTAATTTTGCGGAATCCGTAGCAACTAGCTATGAGCTTTTGTTGACGAAACAGTGACAAAACTAATGTGCCAACAAAACTCACGCTACAAATTTTTTGTGCACGAATTTCACTAATTTTTTATTTCATGGAATACACTTACATTTCATAATAATTCCAGTGATCTTCAGGCATCCAATTGTGTGAATTTCTAGTGCTTGGTTGTGTCTTGTAATGCATGACACAAAACTTATCACAGGGAAAAGATCGATAGATTTAAAGCACGAGGTGCTTCAATCATTCAAAACGTAAGTTAGAAGGAAAAAGTGTGTGAGCAAAATGAGCCAGACAGAGAAAAAGCACTTTACAAATAATCAAAACAATCTTTTGTTAATACTCAGACACTTTGTTTTAACCTTCAGTATTAAATCTTTGGTGAAATTGATGTAAATTTAAAATCAGTCATTTAAAACAAATATTTATAAACTGTAAGTTCAACGTACGTTATCAATTGTAAGTTCAAAGTCAATATATAAAATTGTGAAAGCTTCAAGGTTTTTTTATACTATTTAAAAAGAACAATAGACAATGTGCCAGAATAATTTGTTGTCATATCATTTCATATGTGAGTATTTCTATTCTAAAATTTCCGTATAGTTGATACCTACAGAGTTTTTTATGAACCCACTATGATCAACCTTTTTTCTGATGATAGGCAGTCTTTCATACAGCAGTCTTTCTAGCTTTTTTCCGGAAATGAAAACAATTGTGAGCTCAGTTTAAAATTTTTTTTTTCCAAAAAAAACATTAACTCTCCGGGTTGACCTCCATAAACACAATTGCATACACCGAAAATGCTTATCATACATCTCGATACATCAAAAGTATGGAAAAACGCTAATTATACAATTTTGATAAATTTTCAAAAATCGTTGAAAAAAGATTCGAACTAGTTTCTGTAGCTATTTGAACCAAATAAAACAGTTTGGTGACGAAAAAAACTGTTTATTTTTTTTTGGAAAAAATGATTATCATACAATTTCCATTTAAGAAAATTGTGTGACTAGCATTTTTTTGATGGCGACAACAAAAATATTTCAAGAAATATTGAAATTGCCCTATTTTTTTTTGTAACCGCAAATCAGATTTTGTACTCAAACGAACATTTTTCATAAAAAAACTTTGAAGGAAAAATTCAATTTTTTGTCTGCATAACGTAGTACGTTTTGATTTTTTTCTCGTTTCTCAGAATAATTTTTTTCAAACAGAATGAAAACTTCTTTTTCTTTGGTATAGCATGTTTGCATGGCATGCCCAAACCAATGTCTGATAACTTGAAAATTCTAATTTAAAAAAATCATCTTTGAAAATTTTGCCAAAATTTAAAAGTTTGATACTTGAATTATTTTATTTGTGAAGAGAACTCTTACAGAATTCAGGTCGTTTCCAATAAATTGTAGATGCCAGACGTTCAGCCCTTTGGTGACTCTAGTTTTGAGTAAGCAATGGTTTTAGTCACTTGTGTTCGGTCGCGAACACATCCCAATAATTTTGGGCAATAAAAAATCAACTTTTTGGTTTATGAAAAAATGCTTTTCTTAAAATTTCCATAAAAAAAATGCTTGTCTTAGAATTTTCTCAACATTTAACGTTTCTATGGAATTGTACGAGTTTCTATGATAAGCTTCTTTCTATATGAAAATTGTATGATAAGCATTATATTGTATTATATATATATGTGTGTGTGTGTGTGTGACCTAAATTAATACTATGGGGCTTCTCTATAGAAATTGACATCTATTTAGTATCTGACATTAGGAGAAAACAATTTCTAGATACATTTAAAATCAATTTAAAGCCCAACCATGTTTTATTTAGAAATTGTTGTTCATACTTTTGAAGCTTTCAGGGTTAGCTGTTTTTTTTGGGGAGATCAACTCGGATTATAGTTCATAAAATTACTGCTGCTTTCGTTTTTAATATTTTTATTGGAATCAAATATATCTGTTAACATTTGCATTTCTCTCTCAAAATTTGGCTATTAGAGCTTAAGAAATTGCACTAGAAATGATCCAGATCCTTTGAATGAGGTTTTTTAATATCAAACTGAAAACTGAAAAATTTTAAAGTTGATGAGCAAGTTTAATTAGTTTTTTTCCGGGAAAAAAAATCTTTGAAACGAATCTGCACAAGAGCTTTTTGTGACGATCGCAGATTTTTTTGCTGCTATTTTTTTTGCTGCTATTTAACCTTAACCTCATTTTCGTGTGAAACAAAGTTAATGAGAGTGAAAACATCTTTTAACCTGACTATTTTATTTTTTACAAATACAAAAATGTAAAGTAGTCTTGATTTTGCTGTTGGCATTTACTTTGGTACAAAACTATCATCGTATTTCAAATCATTCAATTGACAACAATCCTATTAAAGTGGAAGATAGAATCAAAACTTATTTGATTTTAGTTGAAGTTAATAACTAAAAACAATTCGTATGCAATGATCAAGAAATGATTTCAGCTGTAAAGAAGGGCAGCTATCGAAGGCCCCTCCTGTAGGCTGCTGTCTTTCACCCGTACACACAATTGATGACCATCGATTGGATGGAAAAATTGTATTTTATAGTAATTATTATTGTTATAGAGTTCTCTGTCCCAGTTTACAAACAAAGTGCCATCGTCTGTAAACCATTTGTGTTGCTGTGGAAGATCTGATTCAGTCATGACAACAAGATAGTTTTCGTTCTCAACACTGAAACAGACTGAAGTAATGATCATACCCTTCGATTTGTAAGTTTGAATCTCATTTTCCAGTTCTGTCCTGGTCTTTGCAGTCAGCACTTTTTGTTTCTTGCCCTTGAATTCTTCAACTCCGGCTGTGAGTAGAAAATAGTACTTGGAATTCAGAGCAAAACAGCCTGTGATTGACAGATCTTGAGACGCTAAGTCTTTTGGACTTTCTGAAGGCATAATTACCTGGAAGTTACCATAACCCTCGATTGCGTAAGCGTAAATTTTACCCGTCGATTGATCTGCTGCGACGGAGTAAATAAACTTTCCCGACTTTTTCTGAGACTTCATCTCTTTCATAAACTCTTCAAAACTTGCACTGCACCAAAAGTCTTTTTTCCTCCTCTTATATTTTGCGTAAGAACCAAACACGGTATACATGTAGTTGCTGTGTACGCACTGGTTAAGAAGCACCTGTTCGTCATTGAATGTGTAGTACTTCACAAGATCGATAAAAGTGACCTTATTGTACTTCAATGGGTCTCTGAAATCTTCTTGTCTTCCTCGGCTGTAGAGAGGTGTACTTGTTGGTCTTCCATCGGGTAGTTGATCTCCTTGACCAGTTAAGTAGAGTGTCAAATCTCCTCCTTTATCTAAAGCCAAATTGTCTCCAGGTTGAATTAGTATGAGACTTAAGCGTCAAATTTTAACTTTAATTTTTCTGACAAAATTGTCATTTTTTTCTAATCTAACCCGGAGATTAATTTTTCTGACAAAATTGTCATTTTTTTCTAATCTAACCCGGAGATTAAAGATTTTGTGTTTGCGTGGATATAGATCTTCATGATTTTTTCGGAAAAATGGCGTATTGTTCCAGTGAACAGATCCAAACTTTTCAGCAAACGAATGGACACAAAGCTGAATTAGTATGAGTGTTAAGTGTCGAAAATCGATACTTTTTGACCAATTATTATTTTGTTATAATGTAACCCGAAAATTAAAGCTTATATGTTAGCATAAACATCTAGTCGGTTTCTTCACCAAAATGACTTCTTATTCCAGTGAAAAGATCAAAAGCTTCCAGCAAGCAAAATTTTGTTTTTATTATTTCTGAAGAATGCATGTTGTTTTTGAAAAGCAGTTTAAGACTTTTTAACCTTACTTTTTCAACACTTTCAGTTTAGTGCAAAAAATCAATGTTAAATTTTGGTTTATGATTCCTAATTTTCATGTCTTCAAAGTTAATTTTTCATATTGTTCAAAACAGGAAAACCGTTTTTTTTGCAAAAAAATCAGGATGTGTCATCCGCAAGCTGATCGGTTTGAACTTGATTTCATATTTTTCATTTAAAATAGTTACCCGGCATTATAAAAAAACGGCAGGAGAACCTTACTTTAAATTACCCCTTGATTTACAGAAGCCCATCTAGGCCTGTTATCACCAACTTTTGGGCAGTAACTTTGGTCAAAACAAATTTTGGTCGGAACAAAATATTTCATGAGCTTCATTTGAAAATTCCTATTAATCTATTTTAATTTTAAAATGTTGATGTTAAACATGATTCAATTCTTCAGCAAGTTCAAAAACTACAGCTTTGGTACAATTTTTAGCTTAAAAAACTTCTATTATTCTTCATTTGAAGTTATAACCGCCGTCAATCCACGTCTTATTTTCTTGGAAGCCAGACTGAGTGCATCTTATTGGATCATATTGAATTTTTCTTCAAAAAATTAGTGCATGCTTTAAAGTTCATTTACAAGCAAAGATCGACGCAGAACTATTTTAAACTAAAAAGCACAATTAAAAAGCACAACCCGTTTCTTCTAAGTTTGTGAAAATACAAAACACTGAGTGACTTTAAATCGCCTGCAGTAGCGCTCGATTGAAGCAATAGGTTGAGTAAAAAACATCAACCATCTGAACCAACTTCATTCAGTGTAGCACTTTTTTTCATCGTTCTTCATGCTCAAGCTTGACTTGTTGCAACCCGGTAACCTTGTTTCCGGTAGCTTTGAGTTCGATGAAACTCATCATTAGATATATCAGTGGCATCCGAACGTTATTCTAAACTAGAAACTGTAGTATGTCTAAATAGACCATTCAATTTGGTAGCAATAACGTCCCAATATGACTTGGTTACGTGATAATGTGATAATGTCATTTGATCAGATTTCTTGAAATACCGACAAAAAAACACTTTTTGAATATATTTTTAACACAAGGCAGCTCCAAGAGGTTTATGTCTTTGAATTAAAATGCCGCCGCAGAATCTAGCAGCTGTATAGCTGCTTCAGTAGCTTGATGTTTTTATTAGATTTTTTGTGTCCAACGTCGAGCTTAGGACTATCAACTTTAACCTTTAGGTGTTGACATGCCATTTGTTTTAATATACTCAAATTGTGCGAATGCATAAGAGTAAACTGCATAATCATGTGAAATATCCTTTTGTTTCATTTTATAAAAGTTCTAATTGACAATAACACCCGGTACCGGGTTCGAGGTTACCGGGTTGACCAAAAATGATAATCATACAATTTTGGTATATAGAAAAAAACTAATTATACACTTTTTTATGCAATTCCATGCGTACAGAAAATTGCATGAAAGGTCTATGATTAGTGATTTTTCACTTATGAAAATTGTATGACTAGCATTTTTCCATAAGCCGAAAAAAAATGATTTTTTTTATTTCAAATTTAATTTCTCAAACTTTTAGGTTTGTTCGTTATCGAACACAAGTGACAAAAACCATGGTTCACTCATCACTAGAGTCAACAAAGGTTTGCTCGTCTCGCATTTACAATGCATTGGCAATTACCTGAATTGTATCAGAGTTTTCTTACACAAATGATATTCTGAAAGCATCAAACTTGTAAATTTTCGCAAAAATTTTCAAAGTTGATTATTTTCACAATTGGAATCTGTACCCGCACCGTTTTTAATTGATTATAATGGGTTCCCGAGATAAAAAAAAACTCCATTATCATCTTTTACAGATGAAAATCGATTATATTGCCATTTTAATCGATTGTTTTTTTTGAAGTAACCCATTATAATCCATTAAAATTGGTCCTATTTTATTTGTAGAACTAAATTCGATTAATTCTGCAGAATTCTTGCATTATTTTATTTGCAGAACTAAATTCGATTAATTCTGCAGAATTTTTGCAATTTTGCAGGAAATTTGCAAAATGTATGCTATGCCTTTTACTAAACGCCATGTCTCAACTTCACCCCCACAAGTTTTTTTTACCTCCCCCGAACTAAAGAGGGGGGGGGGCGGTAAATTGGGGAGTGTCAATCATTAACCCAAAATCAACCAATAAAAAACCCCCCGTGCTCAACTTCAAGGGGGCGAATGGCAGTTGTGGTCAACTGGCGGGGGAGAAGTAAACTGGCAAGGGGCTAAAGGGGGGGTAAAGTAAACTGGCGGGAGGGGTTAAAATTTACGGGGGATTATGATTTGTTTTTATTGGATTATAATAGATTATTTTGTAAATTTAAAGATACTGACCATATTATGGCAATATAATCAATTATGATCCATGGACGCTCGGTGCGGGTAAATGATCAGACATTAATCAAGGCAAATTTTAACATGCCATACAAAAAATATGAGTTTCCAGCTTTTTCGAAGAAAAATATCCAGAGAAAAAACTAAATTTTGCATGCAATTCTTTTTCGGAAAATATTTTCAAAATACAAAATTCAATTTGCGGTTGAAAAGAAAAAACAATATTTGGTGCAATTTTTGTTTTCGCCGTCAAAAAATGCTAGTCATTCAATATCCATATATGGAAATCATTTGATGAGCATTTTTTGACAAAAATTTTTCCTTTTAGTGCGATACACCAAATTTTATGCCAAAACAAGAAAAAAATTCTTGAAAAATTCGATGGCACCATTTTAGCAAAACGTATGAAATTTGTAGGAGTAGCAATTTTTCATTGACTAAGTTTATGGAAGTGTAGGACTAGAATTTTTATTCTATGTAGGTCAACCCGGGAAAACGCCTTGCAAATCGGGGGACACATTTAGCATAAAACTATCAATATAAAGACAGATGAGTAACTTATTTTGTTTGATATCGAAAATAATGATAAATAAATTCACCCCCTTGGTTGAAGGCAGCTTGATGCATTTTAGTTGCAGAAAGACAATCGAATCCTTCAATTTGTTTCTGAGTGCAAAAGTTAGACCATGTGCCACTAAAACACGCGTCACTGACGATAGTAGGCGGAGTCATGCCAGCTGGCATCCATTCCAGAATTTCCTCAATGCCAACTACCCCGTCTGTGAAGCACCAGTTCCCAGTTGGCAATTCACCGTGACCGGTATAGTAGAGCATTGGCTTGAAGTCATTTGCTCTGCAGAAGTCAAAGAACTCCCTGAGGTGGTTCTCCACTTCTCGTTTATGCATTTCGATGTTTTGGATTTTGTTTTTTAGGGTGTGACCAACTGCGCGTTCCATGTTTACAAAATCATTGCTGACTCTTTTCAGAAAAGTACTTCCGTCCCCTGTAAAAAATTAATTAGAAACGAAATGAAGCGACTAATGTTTAAAAAAAGGGTGAATTAGCTTAACATCAATTGAGACTAATACGATAAAAACTACAGTTGATTTATGGAGAATGATCACAACTTTGTTGAACTACTCAGCTTTAACGACATTTCAGCTCTGTGCGGCTTAAACCTTTGACTATATACGCATAGTTTCAAATTACTTTCTGGGTAATACAAAGACTGGGGGGAGGGAGTCAAGGTTTTTCCGCTTATCAAACTCATTTAAGTACCGCGGGCTCCAGTCAGCCGTTATTGTTTATAAACCTGGAATTAGAATAACCGTTTTTACACTGTTATGATTAAGTACCCGGGTTGACCTTAAACCGTAGAAGTTTTTGTAATATAAAACTCACAAATTCTTACCAAATTATGCTCTAAGAATGTCAATCCCCCCAGTGATAGCTACTAAAGATTTGCCAAACCTAAATAAAAGCAGTAAATTAACACTACAGCGTTCTGTTTGTAATTAGAATTTCGCTGCATTCTGATTGGTCAAAAATTCGACAATCTTAACCAACTTAATAATCACCCCCCACCCCTTCTTGAAAAAGGGGTAACTGTTAGGTAGATGCAAAAATTGTAAAATGGTGACTTTTTGACCTTCACCCACCCTGTGCATCACTCCTCGCTTCTCTCTCTCCCTTTTGCGATAGAATTACAGCATCCGGGGGGTGTCTGGACCCTGCAATGAGGAGCCAGCGTCTCTCTTTCGTAGTCGGACACCATTCGTCTATATCGATCAGTTTTCCCGCGCCCTGTGCGATGGCAGAGCCTGCAAAGGCGGTGTTTGGGTCGACGTTTTTGTACATATCTGATAAAACATGACAAGCTTAGGAATAATTGTTATCAGCAATTCAATATGTGTTGGAAAATTAGAACAGCAAAGTCGAGCAAATAAAACATGTAATTCATAATCAACTACCTTGAATTGTACTTTTTTGTTGAAAACGCTTTTTTTTTACAAGTATTTCATAACGTGTAATTGCAGGACGTTTTTTATACAGCACGCTTTTTTGTTGAATAGCTGGAATTGAAAAGTCGAGCAAACTGAGCAATGCAATACATAAATACAACAGCTCATTATGCTACCCGCACTGACATAAATGGATTAGAATGTACGATTTTAGTATGAAAAAAGTACGTTGATTAAATTTAGATCAATTTTAGTATAAAAAAAGTACGTTGATTAATTTTAGATCGATTTTAGTATGAAAAAAGTACGACGATAAAACAAAAAAGATGAAGATTGATTTGGATCGATTTAAAATCTATTTAAATTGATCTTAAATCCCAGCTAAAAAAATTGACCCAAATCGATTTTAAATCAATTTAAATGCATTTTTTCCAGACTGATTTTGTTTTAATTTTAAGGGGATTAAAACGGATTTAAATCGATTTAAATCGATTTTTTTTATTTGAGATTTATCAGTTTCGAAATTTGATTGCATTTATTCATTGCCTATCATTTTTCATTTTACATCGATAGCGTATTGTAGCATAAGAAAGACCAAATAAAAAGAACAAAATATCGATGAAGTTCTTTGATTTTCGTGCATATTTTGAGTTCAAAAACTGATCTATAATGACCCTTTTCTTGATTCGTTTTATAAGTTTTGCCCAAAATCTGATTCATTATCATATCTTTCTATGATATAATTGCATATTAACGAGATCAAATTTTAATTTAATCTGACCTTTTTCTTGTTTGTTACATAGGATTTTGCAAAATCTGCTTACAACAATTTTCTATAATTTCATTGCCTTTTTTCGTGCTTGAAACTGATTTATGTGGATAATTTTAATAAATTCTATAACATCTGGCACGAGTGTTTACATTTAAAAATCAAGAATAAACTTTCCAACAATTTGTTAAGGGTTATGTTTCTTTCGCCTTGTTAGCAAAAAAATCTATTTTAGTGTGTCGGAAAATCCATCGAAATTGATTTAAATCGATTTTTTAGACATTTAAATCGATTGGAAATTTTCAAAAAGATCGATTTAAATCGATTTAAAATGGATTTAAGTGAAAATCTGATGGATTTAAGTGAGATTCGGATGGATTTTATTGAGTCGGAAAATCCATCGAAATCGATTTGAATCGATTTTTTAGACACTTAAATCGATTTAAAATTTTCAAAAAGATCAATTTAAATTGATTTAAAATCCATTTAAGTTCTTAAAATGTACATGGTTAATCGATTTGGATTGATTTAAAATCAATATAAATCGACCGGAAACCATTTCTGTCAGTGCGGGTAGTTTGTATACTCGCTCAATCATAGACTCGTTTAGTCAAGGGATTTAAAAGGTGCAAAATTTTCAGTTTTAGCGAAACAAAATGAATGAAAACTTTGTCTTCACGTTTCTGCCGTCTTCTCTACAACTACAAGAAATTTACGGCTGAAAATTTTGACATAAGATGGAGGAATTTTTTTTTCAGGTTAAAACCGGATAAAAAACCGCAAAAAAATGTTTTGCAAATTGAGGGCGTCAGAAAAGTGTTTTTAGTGTCTAAAAGCTCCCGTAAAGAGCAGACCCGGGTTGACTAAAAAAGCTAGTCATACAATTTTTTATGTGACTTTATCATTGCACCCGACCAGAAAATTTCCTGATAACTCTATGACTGGCATTTTTTTTACAGTGTGAAACCGTGTGATTAGCCGTTTTTCGCTTTGTGAAGTTGTGTGACTAGCTTTTTTCCGTTGTATGGATTTGTGTGACAAAAAAAATGAGTTTAGCTTCAAGTTTTTAGTGTTCAGCTCTACACTGAAAAATCAAATCTGTTCTCAAATGAGAAAAGCCAACAGATTGAGTGGCAAGAATCCCACATTTTTAAGTTTCGCCTTTTGTTTTATTGTTTTAAGCTGTTTGTGCAAGGCTTAATGTTTTCTTTTTGGAAAGTTTGAATGTATGTAAACCGCGGTCTGTTTTTAACACGCGGTCTTCTACATATAATTCTGGCTTTGAAAAAAAGTTTCTGGCTTTACACAAAACACACATTTTCTAAAAAAAAGCTGCCTGGACTACGTTATAGGCAAAAAGTTGCAGTTTTGCATTCAATTTTTTTCGAGACTCGTTTTTTTTGGGTCTGGAAACTTTTTTTGCGACAACAGAAGAAAAAAAATTTTTCCCCAATTTTTAGAACACAATTTTTATCCATCAGTCAATTAGTTTCACTACAATTACATTTAGGGTATCAGTTTTGAATATTCTCCGTTTAGGTATATCATTTTTTGTGTATGTAGAAAAACACGCTTTTCAAGAAATGTTAGTTGTGCAATTTTCAAAGAAAGAACTCGTATGAGTAGAGTTTTTTCATAAAGTCTTTTTGTGAAAACGTACAACTAGTATGTAGAAGGAGAAGCAATTCAAAACTTTGAACGTTGAAAAGACTTAAGATGTCAACCCGTGGAAAACATTCAAACGTATTCATTGAAAATCTGTGCCCTCATACCGGTTTCATTTCAACTTAGAAATTTTGTCAAGCCTTTGGACAAAAGTTCACTGAAATTTCTGCAAAATAATAAGTATTAGCAAATCTGATTTAAATTTTGTTTTTGTCGCTCAGTAGTTTGTGTATTTCTTCTAAGTGAAAGAAAGCTTGATTGAAGGCCTAGCTTAGATTTAGATCCTTAGCTTTCAAAGGAAAAAATTGTTTTATTCTGAAAAAAAAATCTTTTTTCATCATATGCTAAAATTTCAGTCGTGAATCTTTAGCTGTTGTACAGAATACACTAAAATGTGAAACAATTTTGTTGAAGTTATGGTCAAAAAAATAAAGCTGCAACTTTTCTGTCCTGTAACTGCTTCATCGTAATCAATCAAAAACGCCCCGGAAACCTTGCAGCAAAAATCACACTAAAACATGCTCATCTTGTCATCTGATATGCTCAGGGGACTAATTGAAAATACTTGCAATTGTGACGAACTTTTAAACTCCATCAGAAAAATCAAATTACAAAATCGTCAACTAAATTGTACACATAGTACAAAATACAAAGTTACCTGTGGTTTTCAGATGAAAATGTTTAGTTCTCTGGTGATCAAAAGCTAACTAATGCAAAATGAGTGTAAACTGTGGTAATTGCAAAAAAATAATTGAAAAAATTTTGACTTCGTTCGTTCAAAACGACAACTACTGTTGTCCAAAAAATAGCAATAGGTGTTCAGTTTAGTTCAAATAATGAAGGCTGTGAATGGTTATTACTTTCATAAAAAGTCGATGAATGAGAAACGTTTTAAAAACACATGTAACAACTTGATTTTTTTTTTCGTCTAGCAGCTCGCCATGTGTTTGTAAACCGTATAGACGCTCAGCTTTTTTTTAAAAAGTTTAACACCTTATTTTTAAATTAATACGTGCATAAAAGCAAGTTTACATAGCACTTAAAAGCAGCAACTAGGTAAAAACAAAAACTGCAATAAAAAAAATTCAAAAATTTTCCGTCTTTAAGCCCGAATTTAATTCCCAGTAATAACCATCGATGAATTATAGCTAGTGCACTTATACTAACACTTTGATGGAGGTTTTTGTGTTATTTCACAGGTCGATGAATTAGCCTCTATTTATCTATAAACATAGATAAATTAGCGATGATTTATCGATGACTTAACGCTGGAAACGAAATAGTTTTACTAGATAATCGCTAAGTCATGGCTAAATTTTTCGGGTTAAATGCTAAATAAGTAAAACATAGAACATCAAAAAACATCAATTTGATTTTCTTTTAGTTACCCGTGCCCAGTAAATGTGCTAAATCAGATTCAAAATACTCAATAAATCCCACTCGCTATTCATCGCTAGTTAATTGCTGAAAAATCATCGCTTATTCACCGCTAATTCATCGCTGAAATATTCGAATGTTCCAGCTCTGAATCAATGTTAATTCACTTTTTCGAGTGAAAGTTTACCGCTATTCCCTTGATGGCAACCACTGTTTTTTAAAATTTCCATTGGTAGTTTGCAATGAGAACTCAACTCCGAAGTCTATCAATAATGATTCGCAATTAACTTCTATGAAATGTCGTGCTGGAATTTTTAACAGCGTTTTTTTCTTCTTGAGTAATATCACTTAAAGCAACAGCGAAATGAATGTACCATTTTATAAAATTACATTTGACTGTAAATTATAAAGTGTTTTTTGGTTGTTGTTTGTTCTGTTACTTTTAGTTTTTTTGTAATGTATGTTACTCAATTATCCAATTGCAATTTTAAAAAAAACGGTGAGAAAACTGGGTATTCAAACGCTTTTTTTTGGCTTTCATCACTGAATCCTTTTCATATACTTTCTTCAATTTTTGGCGGCATTCTAACTTAAAATTTGACATATACAATGTAAAACTTATGGCAAACAAAAGGAGTTTGGCCTAGTAATGGCGAATTTTATGATATAAGCAAACTTATTATGTAGTAAAAATAAGAAATGGAAAATTGTTTGACTTAAAACCAACTATTTTGCATTGCAACAAAACGAAATGCGACAAAATAACTGAAAACGCAGACCCTTTTTTGTTGAGACTCAGAATGTGGTTTAAAATCTGAAGCAAAACAAACAAGACTGCTCGTATCAGGGCGAACCCTTGAATGTTCGGACTGCCTTTTAAGTTTTATGGAGCAGTAATAACAAAAAAAAATAAATGTAATAAAATAAAATGAATTTTTTTTTCTAAAATTTGAAAGTTTTTTTTGAAATCATTTCCCACACGTCATAATAAGTACTAGGCGATAAATTTTGCTCCTATTAACAAATCAATTTGGACATATAAGCTTCCTTGAACCAATTTGGAACGATTTCTAAGACGGATTAAATCTCGCTTACGCGTTAATAGCGCGAAATATATCGCGCTTTAATTGTCCCAAATTGGCCAAAATGGCAATCTTTAAACCCCCATAACTTTACAAAAAAGGATCACAGGTGAAATATCTTTTCAAATTTAAGCTCAGGACAACAATACCTTTCGAATGATATAAAAAAATTCCGTCTGAAATTGCTAGTTAAAAAGTCGAAATTTGTCTGAAGAAAAAAAAACCCACCCGAGCACAAATATTCCGTTACTTTCGTATCGAAGTCGGAACAATAAGGCTTTAATATGACGCCACTATTGTCCGTTCAATAGTCTGACAAAACAGGCTGACGAAATGCACAATGCGGTACTGTTTTTTCCAAGCAATGTTGTTTTTCCAGTTTGTTGCAAAATTTACTGTGGTCAGAAAATTTAGTACACGCACAGCAACAAATTTTTCCCTGTTTCATGCGTAAAAAGCTTGTCTATGTGCCATTTCAATTGCTGTTCAAGCTATTTTTTTCCAAACTCTAAATTAATTATCTTTAAAAAACGAGCAAACGGCCATGTACTTTGACTAAAAATCGAGTGTTGCTATTGAATTACCTAGATTAAACGAAGGATCAACTTTTGAGCCTGGTGTTCCATACAGCCATTGTGGTGTAAAGACTTTTTATCCACTAGGGAAATGACCGTATACTAATTTTTCTTCACTTTAATTTTAAATTTTTTGATTTGTTTTTCATATAGTTTGAAGCAATGTGGTTCGAAGCAAGCTTGATTCTAGTTTTGTTTTCTTGCTAAATGTACCACATGGAATAGATATTGGCTGAGGGCGACGGAACATTGAAAGAACAATTTGAAAACGTTTTCTACTAGAAAACGTTTCTAAATTGTTCTTTCGAAGTTCCGTCTCCTTCAATCACTATCTAACACCAAGTGGTACATTTAGCAAGAAAAAAAATAGTATCAAGCTTATTTCAAACCAGTTTCAATGCTTATTTGAGCGCGTAAATTTTTTTTCTGATCATTCACTTCTGCGAAAAAAAGCCAACCTCTAGTAATCTATTACATTACAGATTCCGGTCTGAAGGAATAATCTGATGTGATAGCATATTCAAGAGGTTAAGGTGAATAAAACAATCTAGAAAAAAACGGATCTGATTATATAAAGGTGGAAAATGAATCTTTTTTAGGTGGATTACCAATTCATTGTGTTTTTTTCGAGTAATCTTAATTTTACTGACAAAAGGCGGACCAATTTAACATCTTACCCTAAAATCCATTTGGGTGGAGGGAGGATACTAACAAGGTTGGTTTAGGGTTTAGTTCCGTCGCTGAATATTCCGATTACCCTTCAACTTTTATGGAGTAGTGTTTTACCTGAAAAAACGGATTAAGTTTTCGTGAAAAATGTGAAAAACTTTCATTTAATTTATTTACCTCAGCACACGCTTGAAAAATTCCTATAGTCAAAAAACATCCAACGATCGTTATGAATCATGCTCTGAAGTTTTTTACTCAAACGATCAAAATTGCTTATCGATATGGAGCATTAAGGTGTGTTCTAATGTTTTTTTCGCCCATTAGTTCGAAATGCCATTACAGCAAATTATATGTTTTAAAAAGTTTTTTTTTTTAAATTTAAGCTCAGGACAACAACAAGTTTTCAAGGATACTCAAGGATAAAAAATCCGTCAAAAATGGCTAGTTCAGAAGTCGAATAAAAGTAGTTCAAAAGTAGTTCAAAAGTCAAAAAGTCCATAATCTGATTATGATATATTTGTTATGAGCTCCTAAACATCTGACACGTGTCTTTTTATTTAATATAACTTTAATAAATCAATCGAATAAACTATAGAAAAATTATACCATGCCTGGACTTTGCCTGGAATGCCTGGAATTTGAGAAAGCCTGGAATTTGAGAAAGCCGACAACTGGAAGAGACCCCCCGGTGGAGTAAAGAACTCGTGGAGACGGTTAGTGAAGAAGGAACTCCACCCATTCTTGAAACCCCAAAAAATGACCCACAAGAACTGGGAGGCAAGCTGGTTCGATTTGGCCAAAGATACTGCACTGAACAGGCCGCAGTGGAAAGCAATTGTGAGAGATATACATATGGCGGGCAATGGGCAGTAATGCTCGAACACGCCCTACGAAGACGAAGACGAAGACCCGCTCTGACAACATTTTTTCGGATCGATTCAAATTGATCTTAAATTGCTTTCAATTCAATCCAAATTGATTAAAAATGTAATTTTACGAACGTAAATGAAAACTAAATCGATTTAAATTGATCTTTCTTGAAAATTTTGGATCAATTCAAGTGTCTAAAAAATCAATTTAAATTGGTTTTGATGGACTTTCCGACTCAGTAAAAATCATCTGAATCTCACCTAAATCCATTATAAATACAATTAAATCGATTAAGTTTTCGTGAAAAATGTGAAAAACTTTCATTTAATTTATTTACCTCAGCACACGCTTGAAAAATTCCTATAGTCAAAAAACATCCAACGATCGTTATGAATCATGCTCTGAAGTTTTTTACTCAAACGATCAAAATTGCTTATCGATATGGAGCATTAAGGTGTGTTCTAATGTTTTTTTCGCCCATTAGTTCGAAATGCCATTACAGCAAATTATATGTTTTAAAAAGTTTTTTTTTAAAATTTAAGCTCAGGACAACAACAAGTTTTCAAGGATACTCAAGGATAAAAAATCCGTCAAAAATGGCTAGTTCAGAAGTCGAATAAAAGTAGTTCAAAAGTAGTTCAAAAGTCAAAAAGTCCATAATCTGATTATGATATATTTGTTATGAGCTCCTAAACATCTGACACGTGTCTTTTTATTTAATATAACTTTAATAAATCAATCGAATAAACTATAGAAAAATCGATTTAATTGTATTTATAATGGATTTAGGTGAGATTCAGATGATTTTTACTGAGTCGGAAAGTCCATCAAAACCAATTTAAATTGATTTTTTAGACACTTGAATTGATCCAAAAATTTCAAGAAAGATCAATTTAAATCGATTTAGTTTTCATTTACGTTCGTAAAATTACATTTTTAATCAATTTGGATTGAATTGAAAGCAATTTAAGATCAATTTGAATCGATCCGAAAAAATGTTGTCAGAGCGGGTCTTCGTCTTCGTCTTCGTAGGGCGTTTTCGAGCATTACTGCCCATTGCCCGCCATATGTATATCTCTCACAATTGCTTTCCACTGCGGCCTGTTCAGTGCAGTATCTTTGGCCAAATCGAACCAGCTTGCCTCCCAGTTCTTGTGGGTCATTTTTTGGGGTTTCAAGAATGGGCGGAGTTCCTTCTTCACTAACCGTCTCCACGAGTTCTTTACTCCACC